AGCCTATGAAAACGCCACCCACACAGTACACTTTTAACATATTACCACCAATTCTTCCTTCTGGAACACAAGTGACAATTTTTGAAAGCATGAATCATAGAGATTTATAACATAATTCACAAATATCTTCTAATGAACTCATTACTCTATAAAAAACGTTTCACACCAAAGTTTTATGACTGATTTCAGCAACTGGCCATTAGCTTCTATTGTAAGCGTTTTATAGCAAACGGTGCTTCTGATCTTTTCGAAGCACAGGGAAATTCTTGTCTGGGAAAATCAACCACACGCTGCAGCAGACGGAGATCAGGTCAAAAACACTGGAAGATGGCTTTAATGGAACAGTGAAACTAGCTCAACTATAACTATATTCTAGGTCATAAAAAAAAATGTGATGACTTGCTTGTTTACCTTTGTGGCACTGGAAAAAAAAGAGAAAAAACTCAAATTTTCAAATTTGACAGGATAAATATTCAGAATAATAGTAAGCATTAAATGTGTAATCAGGGAATGTAACTGCTGCTTAATTCAAAGGTTTGGATTTTTAAATACAAGCTGCTATAGGTCTAAACTTTCTCCTAGAAGATTTAACATAATTATAAGAGGCTTCCTCTAGATCCTAATACCACTCCACCACCCTGTGTGTACATTCACTCCCAAATTTGCATAATGGTCAAGCCTCATAGTTACTGCACACCTCCTCTAACAGACTTCTGTTCTATCCATCTTTCTTTCTTACCCTCCCTGTGCCACCATATATTCTCATATTACACAGTCATTCAGTTCCTTTCTTCTTTCCAGTCCCTTGCTGTGGGCTCCAATAATAAAGCCCTGGAAATCGTTCACTTGCACAGATCTCTCCGTCTTTTCCCTTGATGTTCACTGGAAAAGGCTGAGGCCTACACAGGAAAACGAGGAGGCCGCAGCAACTTTAAAAGTCACAAGAACGTCCAGTGAGTAAGAGCTCCTCCCACCAAAAAAAAAAAAAAATTCAAACCAAACAAATCCACTCAGTGCCAGGCTGACGTGAGCTGAGTGTTTTCCGTTATTGAAATTCCTGAGCTTCGGTTAGGCTGAGCTCACGGAAACCGTTGACAGTGACAGTTAATATTCTAAAAGGGGAAGCTGAACAGTGCAGGCACTCTAGCAGGTTTTGAAACTCAACCATAAACCAGTGCTGTAGACAAGAGTCCTCTGTGAACAGTTGGGCTAATCAGTGGATGTCTTACAAGCTCTGTGGACCTTCTGCAGTAAAAATGTGTTAACAAGTATCTAGCAGGCCTGCTGAGCCGCTTGCCCTAAACATTCAAAAACATAACAAAAGGTAATGCTAACGTAACATTTTAAACTAATATCATTACATTATTGAACATTTTAAACCAACCTGTGCTGGCAAATTTACTAAGGTTTTGCGCCATCTCAAACTATTTTGCCATTGAAAAATGAATGTTATAATCTACTAAACAGGCGCAATGGAGCTTTAGTGTCCATAATAAGAAAAAAGGGGCAGTTACTGCTATTTCGTGCTTTTGCCTCATTGCAATTACAAGTGCAAAATACTTTTACAATGAAGATTACAATGAAGCACCTACTCCCATTTTCAAAGGCTGATAGTAAATACTGACTGTGTGCTACTGAACTGCGAAAAGTTTGTCTTATTTTTGATGCTAACACAGCTTCCATTGTTTGTGCTCCGGGACATAGAAAATAGGGTTTTTCAAATATATTTATAAATATTTGATGGAGAAAAAACACAACACACACACGTAAACACCTGCCATAGCACATTGATCTAAATTTGATGGAGAAACCAAAACAGAAGAGCAGGTTTTACGAGTGTTAACTGCCAAACAATATCACAGTTATCCTTACCGATACTGATATCAGGCATCGGGCCGATATCATGCTCATTTACTCATACGTGGCTTCATAAAAATGCACTGACATCAACATCCCAAACCAGCTGACACCATGTGACGTAAGCTGAGTGCACACTGCTGCGCTAGCGAACGAACGACTCAACCTGGGAGTGAAGGAGGCTCTGTTCACACAACAAAGTGTTACTGACTACATGGTGGTTGGACACAAAGTCGTTGATCACTTTGAATATTCTGCCTTGGCAAATTCCCACCAGGAATACACAGTGCAATTTTAGCCCATTTAACACACACACAAACAATCACAACTGCTTTCCCTATATGGGTGGAGACACACAGGCTCGCAAAACAGAGGCAAAAAAGTTGCCAATTCCTACCAAAGTTCCTTTTTGCCGACTTTATTCTGTTTGACTGAATATACACATGGGGTATAAACATTAATACAGGTCTTTTTTGTTAAATAGGGAAAAAAACAAGAAAAAACAAAAAAACAAGGAAAACAGATCATATTGTCCTACCACGTACACCCATCCTGCTTTTAGCTTCAGTGCACAGTGTTAACTGAGCTGCTCAGTTTCTCAGCACGTCTGCTCAGTACTCGGTGCAACAGTGTTGTTTTGAATGAAACAGCTTTATTTGAAGTTGTTCATTGATACTGTCTTAAATCACAGTGTATGTCTCATCTTAGAAGACATTCAACTACAGTCAAACCAGCCAAACAAAAGACTCAAAGAGGATGTACATCACAAAACATGTGCGTTACGCATTATGTGGATGCAACAGCCTTAAATGTGAATCCTACTGTCACTGCACTAGAGAGACTGTTTTTGAGACAGATGAGGACCAAAACTATGAAACTTACTTTACTCACAGCCGTACAGAAGCACTTTTCTGATATTGAACAAAACCATCTCAACTGCGGCATTTCTCGAACCAAGGTAACTAATGTAGCATAGCTAATACACTTCACTTAAAATCAGCTAGATTTTAATGATTTAACTGTTAAGATACACTTCACTTACTTACACTAACTACTTAATTCTAAGTAGGTTATGGTTATGAAAGGGCATCAGACTTTGTATCGGTGAGTAACTAAAAAACGTACTGGTATTTAGTCTGAAAAAAAAAAAATGGTATCAATGCATCACTAGTTATCCTATGATGCACTGCACATAGCTAAGAGCTCACACTCAATACCATGCAGTTCCCCAACAGGCCTTTGTATCTTGTTTGGACAGTTATCACCTGTGCCTTTGTATCAGTGAGCCCTCTGTGCACAAATGTGCTGCACTATTTTGGTTCAGTGGGGGGCAAAGAGTCTTCGATTGGGTGGGTTACGTTTATTTATAGAGAACACAACTGCAGAACCACAGATGCTTATGGTGTATGGTGTAGTGTGGTGTGGGGTGTGTGTGTGTGTGTGTGTGTGTTAGCATATGGTGAGGCAGCAGTATCCACACTGTGAAAAAGCTTTACTCTTCCATTTTGCTTAAACTGATCAATACCAGAAGCTTTGAGTGGTGGCAGCCATTTTAGATGAAATAATCTGAAGCAGCAGCTCCACTCTGGCACAGAGTCATGAACACTTCCTTCAGGAAGATTAGCAGTGCTAACTGGTAGGCAGGGAGAGGTGAGAAATTGAAGAACTTCAGCAGCTGAGCCCTGCTTCACTGACCAATCACGAAAGAGATCATAGAAGGACTTGCATTAACAGCCAACAATTAAAACTGGTGTTTAATGGGCTGATCACTCAGCCAAAGTGAACTCTTATGTAGATCAACAGCTCATGATATTTTAGTTTGTGTGTACATTTTATATATATATATGATTGTGACGCTGTTGCCTCACAGCAAGAAGGGCCTGGGATCGATTCCCGGGCAGGCGACCAGGGTCCTTTCTGTGTGGAGTCTACATGTTCTTCCCGCGTCCGTGTGGGTTTTCTCCCCGACAGTCCGAAGACATGCAGTCAGGCAAACTGGAGATGCTAAACTGCCCCTAGGTGAGAATGTGTGTGTGAATGTATATATGTCTGTTTGTCTGCCCTGCGATGGACAGGCGACCTGTCCAGGGTTTTTCCTGCCTTCCGCCCAATGACCACTAGGACAGCCTCCAGCTCCCCCAGCACAATATATATAAGACATACGTAATACATCGCATTAATACTATCATATTACATAACTGAATAATGTTGAATATCTTTAACAACACTAAATTATTAAGCTAAAACATCTGTGCATTAAATTTACTGATTAAATATTACGAGTATGATGTTCAAACTGTAGATTACTACTTTCAAAGCCTAACTACCACACCCAATAAAGCTTGTGTAGGACAGTCTTCATTTTTTATCCAAAAGTAGTCAGTATTTGCTGCTGCGTACTTTATGTATGATGCAGGATGTTGGTCAGGACAGGCGGTAAAGGGGTGTGGTAGAGGGTCAGACGGCTGCTCATGAACTGAATGCTCACAGCTGAATAGACTCAGTGGGAGCATGGGTGAGGCAGCGGCTTATTTTAACCCCACAAGTGTGAATTATCAGTGTGAAAAGTCTCTCTGGACAAGTGTCCTTGGAGACACACCTCTGACGAATGTAAAACCATGGTTAACATGTCCCAATCACACAGTGTACAACCAGGAATGCGTTCCTATCCAGAATGCATTCTTATGGGTCAAGGATGAAAGATAACAAGAAAGTCACTATCTCTACTAATATCCGACACTACTCTCCTGTCATTTTTCCTATTTTAGGCACAGAAAATGTCCCATTTTAAAGTAAAAATGGGAGGGTTAAAAGGCATTTTTCAGAATATAAAGTTAGATATAGAGAAAACCATCATGAAACAATTTTGAAATAATGAAGTACACTTCCTGTTTACTGAGAAGATGTAATATCTGCAGTTTCTAAGCAACAGAGAAACCATATATAAAAAGGAACTATTTCTGAAGGAATAGCAAGAGGTAAATTAGGTGTAGATTACAGACACAATGCCGACAATACTTGTGATATATTCTGAAAAACAAAGTCATTTGCTTCTAAAGCCTTTCGGAATTCCCAATAAACAAATAAATAAACAAAATTAAATAAAATAAAAACTGTAAAAAAACGTTTTGACCGCTCCTTACCTGATATGTGACTGGACACATCGCTTTTGGGTTCACATTTTGGAAGGGAGCCATCTAGAGAACATAAACAGAAAGAAAACAAACTTTTACATCCAAATCACATGTAAATTGAAATTCTTAATTGAAACACATTCTAATTAAAGTAACTGGTTATTGCCGGTTACTGACTGGTCATTTTTTTGTCCATCACCATATGGTACATGCCCTGCATTTCTCTAGCCGTTATGCCTCTGTGTGGACACCACAGCACAAGACCCAAGCTATGGTAAGCACAAACACACTCTTAGCTACTCTTAGCCGAGTTCCACTGACCCCAAAAACGTGTGGGTGGTGACACAGAACTTGTGTCTGCGCACCAGTCACTGCACTAATCCCTCAGATGTAATGACCTCTAATCACACTTTAACTTCTCCACCGCCAGACACCAAAGGAACACCATGGAAAAAGAGAGGGAACAAGAAAAAAAAAAAGATCCTTGTGGACACTGCATGTACTGCTGATTACAAGCAAAATGCAGGACACGTGAGGGTCGCATTAGAGACAAGAGTGTGTGTGTGTGTGCTCTGACTGAGCTGTGGAGAAGGTTGGGGCTTTTTTCTTGCCAGGCTAAACAAACAGATGCTTTTCCTAGCAGGCATCAAAGTGCATAGACAGAAAGCCGGCTCTGATCACAGGTCAAGAAAGCTGCTGCGTCTCCCCCCCCCTTGCGTTTCCCCCTGCCTTAATTTCTCCTTGCTTAGTTCTTCCTCTCTACTTTCATTACCTTAGAACAGTTTTTAATCTGGCATGCCAGGGCTCACTCACTCATGGTGTTGCTTAATTTACAAAATCTACAAGAACTACAAGGCCCACGTTCATGAGAAAATAGAGGCACAAGAGATAAAACAGCCAATCGAGTTGAGTGCAGACAAAAGAATGTTCAGATTTCGTTTGTATGGGCAAAATATTGTATATGCTCAATATGTCATAGGTAACATTTTGTTAGTTAAAGTAATTAAACAGGTGAAGGATAACATCTTGCTATATCAACAGCACACAGTGTCAAAAGAAAGGATAAAGGAAAGTTTATCCAGTCCAAAACATGTGGAATGTTGTTTGAAAAAACACTAGTTAGCAGAATTCACTTTCATTTTACTATTACTAGTCCTTTTTTAAATGCCTGACCTAACGATGACTAAAGTTATCGCTATCTGGTTTTGTTTGGCACTTTGGACACTTTGGGTGACGGTGGACCAGTTTAGGTCAGTTTTGGAGAAAATTCAGATTCAAAACATGATGATGTGGTTTAGGTCAGGTCTGGGCATAAGTTTGTCGGGCTGAGGTTGGGTTAAGACTTAATACTTTCCTGTTGTGGACTGTGTCTTGTTGGACTCAGACAGAACGTATTTAGGTAGAGCAATCCCGTGTAAAACCATGCTTCCTAGAAGGTTTCACGCTAATTGCATGGGTGCGCTCTAGACAAAAGTCACATCTGGGCTGAAGGAGTGACACGGATGAGCTCAGATGATCCCTGAGGCACTGGCTTGCAGGTGGGGGAGGGGAGCAGAAGGCAGAATACTGACAGATAAGGGTCTCTCCCTCTCATCACATAAAGGGATCTGAGGCCTTCAGAAATCCCCCTACCTCTCCACTGAGATGCTCATTATCAGACAAACCCTCCTCCTTCTCCTCCTACACACACACCCACACCCACACACACACACACATCTGCACCACAGTGATGTCGCAGCAAGTCACACTCCACAGTCCTGACAAAGAGGGGGCAGGACAGGCAAACCTGAGCCCACCATGAAAGAAACGAGATGCACAGATAGAGAAACAGAAAGAAAGAATGTCAAGAATTCCAAGGGAGAACTGCAGCTTCTTTAGATTCCACAAATGGAATTTTCCCCCTGCGTCTCATTCTCTCCTGATGTTCCACGGCAACTGGAGAAGCCAAACAGAGAGCAAGCCTGAGAAACTGGAGACCAAACAGAAACACCCTGGACATGCAATCATATTTAACTTCTAAACTGTGCTAATTTCCATTTATATGTTTATAAATTAGGTCTAAGCAAATCTCCAATACTATCACATAAAACACACACATACAAAAAAATCCACACATACAACCAATTCAAGAAAATAAATGATCAAAAGAGAATGATTACAAGTCAGTTAAGCCAAAGCTTGCTATTCCAGTCCAAATATAGAAGCATAAGCTGAGAGGACATGGTGGAAAAGTCCTGTTTCAAATCCACTTCATAAGAAGAAAGGAGTTTTCTCCCGCCCATTCCAAATCCCCCGCAAAGATCTTTAGACTCAAACTCTCATATCGGTTGCAGTGTTTGAGTTTATCCAAACCATTCTTCAAACTACAACACTGTCAAACTTCAACAAACTGACTTTTTGCTACGCTCTATTCACCATTCACTGTACAATTTCACTATTCAAAAGTAATTCAAGAGCCAAAGTAATGCATTTGTTAAGAGGTTCATTACATGTCTGGCAGAAGCAGGACAGCAAAGACTGAAGAACAGGATATGTGAGAAGTAACATCTGTAGTCCTGGATTTGGTCCTACTATAATGGCACAGTTCAACAGAAGCTGAAATGGAAAACATTTGCACAGTTATTTCAGCCCACACTGCTACAGGTGAGTTTCCTTCACATGGTAAAGTTACACTCATTCTCAAGTGATCAACACTTCAACCAACCAACCAACGAACCAACCAGGATCAAGAAAAAAAACTGATTATAGATAAAATTAAATTAATTAAATGAAGATTAACATTCCTCTGACATTCCTCAAGAAAGGGGGTCAGTTGACGACCCCGCATAAGCATAGGAGAGGAGATTTGGGTTTCAGCAACATCACTATTTTCCTTTCAACTGTGAGCGAGCAGGATATGAGTGGCCACACCACAAACACACTCATACTGTACAGGAGCATATGTGCAGAGGAAAGAAGGCTGAGGGTATACGAGCACTCCCTAAACGTCAGCCATTTCAGTCAGTCATCTCCAAAAGCCCCTCAACTCTGAGCCAGAGCAGAAAAAGAACAATGCCACAACACGCAGTGATTCAACCTCATGTGTTCCTGTCAGGACCCATGTGTTTCCCCATCATAAACAAAACCCTCCCATTCTGTTCATGTAATGCATTAAAACAAGCCCGTCTTTACAAGCAGACCCCAGCAGTACGCCCCTTGTGTTATGCACTGTGGTGGGGTAGTCATCAATACCGCTCACAGATGAATCACTACAGGGGAAAAAGAGCCCTCTCATCGCTACATGCCTTCAGCCTTCCTCATCCAGGGCCACTGAGGAGTCAGAGAGAGAGAGAGAGAGAGAGAGAGCGAGAGAGAGAGAGAGAGAGAGAGAGAGAGAGAGAGAGCGCGAGAGAGAGAGAGAGAGAGAGAGAGAGAGAGAGAGCGAGAGCGAGGGGGGGGGGACAACAACCATTTCCTAGTTTTACAGCTCTCAAGTCTCACCTATGATTTCTCTGGAGTGAGTTCAGAACCAAATTATCACCACAAGTAAAATTTGTTGCACCTTATTAAGCTTAGGACAACAAGCTTCCCCAGCTAATGTTACACCATTAGAATGAACTATGCTCCAAAAGTTACGTCAGTGAATTCACAGACCTATTCTTCTGGTCACTGGCTTTTTTCTAGTGACTACGGTAAAAGATAAAAACACACCATTTTTAGGGTTTTTGAAACTGAATTAACCAAAAAGCATGAAGATTAACTAGTTAACTAGTGACACCAGTTAATGTATATTAAAAAAATATATAGTTTACATTACATTTTGTATTGATTTTTATTATTTATTTATACTTTTTTAAATCATATTTTCTATACATTTTGTTTTGAAGTTAAGACAATCTGCATTACTTTACTTTTTTTACATTTTTATTTAACTATCCTATCAAACGTTAACTTAACACTACAAGTTAATAAAAACCCCACTGAAAATTAAAATGCTAAACTGGGGATCCTGCCCAATCTGGCAACCCTGTTTGAACAGCAGTGTCTGAACAGCAGTGGGTGGAGCAAAAGCAGAAAAAACAGTGTCTTCATCTTAACTGCAAACATGAATCATAGAAATTGAAATAACTTAAGTCAACTTGTCAGCGAATGTTTGTTAGCTGCTAAAAACCATTTGATACCAAATTTAGTATTTCAAACAAACTAATGTGGCTAAACTCAGTGCAGAATCATTTTCCTACAGCTGTGGCTAGTTAACAATCCGGATCAATAAGAAAATGATTTGGACTGCTACTGGAGTTAGGATTAACTGTTGCTTCGAACTGCCTAGAGTCTCACAAACCGTTCCAAATTACAACTGTAATTAATCTGATTTGTAGAGCTGGCAGCTGCAGGCCTCTGGTGACAAGCTAACATTTAGCTTGACAAACAAACATCAAGCTTGATAAACAAACATCAAGCATTTAGCTCGATTCTGTTTCCCCACAGAAACGCATGGGTTCATAAAAATAGTAAGTGTGTCAGTTATTCGATTTTCTTTTCTGTTTTTGAATATTTTAATTATCAAATGTATGAAATTTACGAATATTTGTTGCAGCCCTATAAGAGCAAAGCAAAGCCAAAACGAAGGGCAAGGACACAAGGTGTCAAAGCATTCATGAGCTGCGTGGCACCTAAAAACCTATTTCTTTAAATGCTAATGAACTGAGTCATTTTCCCCGCCAGGTCAGCCCGTCTCCTTTTGCCACTGCCCCGTGTCCTCGATGCTCTCTATTCTTTTCCATTCATTGTGTGAACATAAACACAGCTCAGTTCTCCGTGATTGTAATGTTCGTCAGAGAACTATTTTTGGATGTCTCTCTAGACCACAACCCAAAGGCCTAGTAAGCCCAGGTGAATATCCTCACAGCCTTTGCTAAGAAAGGGCTGGCATGACACAGCTGATGTGAGCTAAACACCACCATAGAATATATATAGTGCACAGTCCAGGAGCACAGCTTCTCGTGTCAATAAGCAGAGGTTAAAAGGCCAAGCCACTATGTAACAACCCAGAGAGACAAAGAGATACAGACACAGAGGTCAGA